GAAATCAAGCAATCTCATTATTTTGTGGCAAGATTCAAAGCTTGTCACTTCTCTATAATACTGCAACAAAACAGAAGGAGTTAAATTTCTCAATACAAATTTTCAATTCCTGCTAAGAACAAAAATTTTTACGTTAAGCTTCCAAAGTTGCTATCACTTTTAATTTCTTATATAAAAATAACAAAGTTCCTAACTTAAAAAAAAATTTTTAATTGAAGATAGAGTTTTGTCAATCTAAAAAATTGGAAACATTTCTTTTAATATAAAAAAAAATGTTTAAAAAAATATCATTTTAGAATCAAAAATTAAAAAGTTGGTAATTTCAATAAAAAAATAACAAAAACCCTAACTAAATAATATGCTTTTTTGTCGTTTTACCTCGTTTAGAGCCATGGAGATGGCCCCCGAGACCGCCAACCCCTGCCTCTCCCTGAGCTCCCCCTTGACGGCCGTGAGATACCCCACTGTGATCTGTTTCCTCTTATGCAACGGCTGACTCTTGAGATTTTCACTGGTGAGGTTCTCCCTCTTGTCCACCACCGAAGAGTATACAGTGGCCGACGTGTACCTAAACTCGTCCTCGTGTCCCATATCCAGGTCATTGTGCTGGATATCCTCCTCGGAGGAGGTGTACTTCTTGAACGGTGGTGCATTCTGGTGGGTGCTGGTCGTGCTGATGGAGGGTCGAGATGGGGGGGCCGCATGTAACGCCAGGAAGCGGGCATTGGGGTCCTCCTCCAAAGGGGGCAAGGGGGAGGTCGAACGGGAGGGTGAAAACAATAAGAGCGCGACCAGCAGAGAAGCCAGGCCGAGGCGCATGGCCGGGCTCCCCCTCACCGGAACACCAGGATCACCTGCAAAAAAATCACTTACTCACGAGGGGAATACAATGTTTTTTCTAACACTTATTTTTATTTCTCACATTTTCGCTTTGATTATTTTAAATTTGTGCAAGATCAAGGCAAATCCACTTTTAGTGTGTTAAATTCCTCTCAAAAATAAACAAACTTCAAATTTCAAAATTCTGCGAAAATTTAATAAGTGGAACTGAAAAACTGAAATTGGATCACCAGACTTGCTTTTTCCTGCAAACCGTATTTTATTCCTAACAAATAGACAGCATTTAGTAGAAGTAAAAGAATAACTGAAAAAATCTTTTAAATCAAGAAGAAATTTTCTAATTCCTGCAGAAACTTTAAACAGCAGGAATATTATTTAAGTTCCTGCAAGAATTATTTGACTGTTACACTTGAACTCTCCCAAACAAGTATTTCATTTCGTTAAAGTTAATCCTGCAAGATATTCTTGCAAATCAAAAATAGCAGGAATCGCAATTAATATAAAAACTACTTTAAAATTGTCAGTTTTTGCTACGATTTAAATAAAAAAATAGTCAAAATCAGTTTTTAAGTTTAGCTAAAAAACAAAATGTCTACAAAATAGTCTAATTGCACAATCAGCAGAATTTAATGATTTCACGATTCCTGCAGCAAAATTTTTGAAATATGAAAAATCATTTAATAACCAGCATAAAAGTTTTTTAATTTTAAAAGCATAAGTATGAAACTGTGCAAGAGAATTCATATTCCTGCAAAAACCTGCAATAACAAACAGATACTGTGGCCACTCCTGACAACAAGATTTCCATTAATGCAAAAAACACAAACTATTGTGTTAAAACAGATCCTGCAACTCAAAAGTCTTGTAATTTGAAAATCTAGAGTCTTTCAATAAATCCTGCAATATTTTCCGAACAATCTTGAAATTGCTGCAAAAAATATTTTTTTGCCACAATTTATATAAAAATTAATGGCAAAATAAGGTTTCAAGTCCTGATAAAAAACTAAATGTGTTCAAAATAGTCTAATTACAAAAACACCATAATTTTCAAATATGAAAAAATCGTGCAGAAAAATTCATAGTCCTACAAAATAATTTTACCCAAAATAAACAGTAAAAATTGTCCTTTTTTATTAAAAAATAGATAGGATATACAAGTTGGTAATAGCAGGAATCAAAATCCTGGAATTAAATTTTCAATTCCTGCAAATATAGTCAAAAATGGTCGAAGATCTTTAAATCGTTTATTTAAAAATCACAAACTGTTGTGATTAATCGATTCTACAAATCCTGCAACTTCAAAATCGTGTGATTTAAAACTCGCTTTGTGTTTTTTGCAGGAAACAAGTTTTGCAAAATCAAAATCCTGCAGTAATTTTCCGATTCCTGCAATACATTTCAATAAGACCGAAGTTTAACTGTAAAGTGACACAAACGCAATTCAAAAATAGCAGGAATCACAATTACTGTAAAAACTACTTCAAAATTCCTGCAAAAATTGTCAGTTTTTGCTTCGATTTAAATAAAAAATCTTTAAATCGTTTTGCAGGAAACGAATTTTGCAAAACCTGAATCCTGCAATAATTTTAACTTTATAGTGATACAAACGCAAATAAAAATAGGAATCACAATTAATCTGAAAACAATTTTTGAATTCAATAAAAATTTGTGTCAAATAAGTTTTTACGTCCTGCTAAAAAACCAAATGCTTACAAAATATTCTAATTGCAAAAACAGCAGAATTTATTGACTTTGATTCCTGCAGCAAATTTTTAAATATGAAAGAAATATATTAATTAAAATCTGTTTCATTTTGTAACTTTAAATATCCTGCAATAATTTTGACAAATAACCAGTTGAAATTTTTAAGCTTATTTTGCGATCCTGCCATAATTTTCCTGATAAAAAAAGTTCATTGTGGTCTTTAAAAAAACAGATAAAAACACTCAAAATAACTTGCTATTTAAAAAAACACAAAAAATCCCTTTGTTTTTGCAGGAATTTTTTTTGATTAAAAACAAATAAAAACCCTGCTTCTTGCAACCGGTTTTTCATTTCCGCCTCACTTAAAACACGGTTATTTTTATTTCGTTAAGTTTTGCAACTTGTTGCAAACTCATAAACATTTACCAAACTCGTTAATACAGCAAAATAAATATAAAAAGCTCAAATATTTGCTCTCTGTCTTAATTAAATTCACAAAACGACGTCACCCGAATTTAAATAAAAACCTATTTGTTATTGATATCAAACCGGGGGCGTTAATAAATTAATAAAAAATTGCTTTAAATGCGGGTTGGAAAAGAATGAAGATAATTAAGTGTGTTTAATTGCCGTCATCAGAATAACTAGGAGTCCATTCGAATTCGGTTTAATTATAGCCACGAAAATAGATAAAGCGGTTTACACAATGCTTAAAATTAACATCAGGAAAACAAATAATCGCTTTAGAACGGATATAACGACGTCATCAAGACGCTCATGATGTTATCAGAGAGTTGAGTTAAAATTAACAAATCTTGGGTTATGCTAAATGCAGGCATATTAAGCAGCAAATGTGTTACATGCTAAAAGGATTCAACAAACACTCGACTATAAATAAATCGGTTTCGTCAAGGACGAATTCGGCTATTCCAAATCGAAAATAAGTTGGCACTGAAACGCTTCCGAGGTGAATTTTACAAGAATTTGGAAACTAGTGCGTTCGTTGGCCTTCGACTGGAACAAAATTTCAATTCTGCAAGAAAAATAGCCAAGAGCAGGAAATAGTTTCGAATTTTCCGATTAAATTCATCAAAATTCTGCAGGAATAAGTTTTCAGAGAAAACTGAAAATACTTTTCATGTTTTGAATTTTTGCAGACTATAAGTATTCACAAGTTTGCCGCAGTAGGAACAACGTGGATTAAAAATCCTGCTACAAACTTCCTTTGCAGGAAACACCAAAAATTCAAGCAATTTCTTTATTTGTTGCA